TTCCCCTGAGCTCTCTATCTTACCTGATTTCTCTATAGAATCCTCTCGGTACAAGCCATGTCCAGTTTACACTAGCAGACATGCTGCACCAATCACTGGTCCTGCACCTCCTACTAAGACGACTGTTTTCTCGAGCCTCCCTTATCCTCCACCTACGACTTCAGATCCTTCACCAAATGATCTTCCACTACAGGTCACTCTTCCCTGCACTTCTCGTGTTCTTTGACCACCAAATAGGTATGGTTTTTCCTTCCATAGCTCTATGACTGCTACCCTTAACTCAATTTACATTCCTTCCTCCTATGGACAAGCTATAGAACAAGAGTGTTGGAAACAGGTGATGAATACAGAACTTTAGGCTCTTGAGGCCAACCAAACTTATGATGATGTACCTTGTTCACAGACTGTGAAACCAATTGGAAGTAAATGAGTATATTTAGTCAAGCTTCGTTCTAATGGCTCTCTTGATCGCTATAAGGCTCGGCTGGTCGCCTTAGGTAACTGTCAAGAGTATAGAATCGACTATGATGAGATGTTTGCTTTTGTTGCTAAAATGAACGTTGTTCACCTATTGCTATCTCTTGCCGCTTCTCAGTCTTGGTCTCTACATCAAATGGCTGTAAAGAACGCATTCTTATATGGAGACCTTAAAGAAGATATTTATATGAAACTTCCATCCGGTATGCCTCTTTCCTCAGTTGACTCTATATGTAAGCGAAAACGTTCTTTTTATGGTCTTAAGCAGGCTCCTTGAGCATGGTTTGACAAGTTCCACCACCCTCGCTTGGATTTCTCCTTTACTCAGAGTCAGTATGACGCATCTTTGTTTCTTCAAAGGAGTACTGTTGGCATTGTTCTCTTATTAGTCTATGTGGACTTTATTATTATTTCTGGATCTAATCACGCCCTTATTCAGAAGCTTCAGGAGTATCTACACTCGATTTTTCATATGAAAAACCTTGGTCATCTAACTTACTTTCTTGATTTAGAGGTTTATACTGCACCCATGGTATTTTCTTGAATCAACATAAATATATTTGGGACTCGATTCAGTTGGATGATTTATCTACCGCTTTCTCTATTGACACTCCATTGGAGCTTAATGTCGATTATCGAAAAGATGAAGGCGATATTCTTCCAGATCCTACTCTTTTTCAAAAGTTGGTAGGCAATCTCATCTATCTCACTATTACACGTCCAAATATTTCCTTCGCAGTCCGTACTGTCAGCAAATTTATAGATGCCCCTCATCATCTTCATTTGGTAGCTGTCCTTCGCATTATTCACTATCTTATTAGGACTCCTCATCATGGTCTGTTCTTTCCTAGACGAACATCTCTTGCTCTTACCGCTTATAGTGATAATGACTAGACAGGGCAACCTGATTCTTGTCGTTCTACTACTGGATGGTCTATTTTTTGGGTGATGCTCTCATTTCTTAGAAATGTAAAAAACAAGATTATGTTTCTAAGTTCTCCACGAAGACTGAATACCGCGCTATGTCAATTGTATGTTCTGAAGTTGTGTGGCTATGTGGTTTTTTAGCTGAACTTGTTTTTTCCCAATCACAGCCTACACACCTTTCCATGGTGACAACACTAGTGTTATTCAAATTGCTGCTAATCCTGTGTACCATTAACGCACCAAACATATTGAGGTGGACTGTCATTATATTCGAGATGCCTATAATTCCATGATCATCACTCTTCCTCATGTTTTCAGTACTCAACAGGTTGCTCGTTTCCATCATAATTTTCTCGTAGCAAATTGATGTTTGTGGACTCACCAACATCAATTTGAGGAGGGGTATTAGAGGTTTTTTAGTTTATTTAGTTTCCATAAATAAAATCTCGACAAATCACAGAGAAAATCAGGGAATTATTTTAGGGATTTCATTCCAATTGTACATATTTTATTTCCTTTCTTATAGACCTCTGTAATACTATAAAAAGAACACAATACATATATGAATATCATTCAGCACAATTGACATTGCTACCCTCAAACTGGAATAAACATATACATTGGCCTCATAGTGCTACACCAGAAACTACTAAACTAAGGCAGCCAGATGAGCATCAAATTCATGTTGATCAAAGCTCTACTCCGTTGTCATCTAGTTCAATCCAAGTTCCTGCTCTCACAAAATAGCAATATAAGCAATTGGTTACTCTTCTTTCTACAGAATCGCTACCTTGTGCTACAAACTTAACTAATAAAAACCTTCCCTCTTGTAATTCAGTTCCTAGTACTATTTAACACCTTATATAATATATTATTGAGAAATTTTCATTTGCTGTTAAGAAAGTCGGGTTTGTTCGATCTTATGCTGATCTTTGCATATTTACGAAGCCTTATAGTTCTCATTTTACCGTGATTCTTGTGTTCGTTGATGATATCATGGTAGGTGCCAATGATTATCCATCTATCACGGTATTGTTGTTGTTGATCTATTGTTTCCTCTTATTTCCAAGTTATTTACACCACAGTACAGTCACAAAGTAATGAGAATAGAAGCAATTCTTTCATAATTTGACAATATAAACAATGACCGAATGGCAACAATTCCATGAACCCCTAAATTATGTCAATGGGTTCATTTCACAAATGGTTACTGAACTTACGCGAAAAATACAAAACGGTCATTGAAGTTTAGAACTTTCAATAACGGTCACTTAAGTTTCGGGGGCTTTCAGAAACGTTCACTGAAATTTAAAAACTTTCAGAAACGGTCAGTGAAATTTAAAAACTAGTAGAAACGGTCACGAAAATTTAAAAACACTTTTTCAATTTTTTGGGCTACTTTTGCTCGCAACTTTTCGGCCACTTCCGACCACCAAAACCATCAGATTTTGATATCGTTGGAAAGCACAATGCCTTCTTCAATTATCACCCAAAAACTTCCCCAAACTCCAAAGCATTCGGCCCGAATAAACCCACAAATTCAGCTACCCAAAAAGGCGAAAATCTGGGCAGATATTTCCGACAACTTTCCGGTAACTTCTAACCACCAATACCACTGGATTTTGATACCGTTGGAAAGCCCACAATATCCTCTTCAATTGCCACCAAAATTTTCCCCCAAACTCCAAAGGATTCGGCCGGAATAAATCCACAAAATTGGCTACCCGAAAAGGCGAAAATGTAGGCAGATTTTTCATTTTTTTGCGGCAACTTTCGACCACCAAGACTGTCGGATTTTGATACCGTTGGAAAGCCCACAATCTCCTCTTCAATTATAACCCAAAATCTACCCATAACTCGAAAGGATTTGGCCAGAATAAACGCACAAAGTCAGCATCCCGAATCTAGGTAGATTTTCACCTTTTTGGGTAGCTGAATTTGTGGGTTTATTTTAGCCAAATCCTTTAGAGTTTGGGGGAGATTTTGGATGGTAATTGAAGAGTACATTGTGCACTTTCCAACTGTATCAAAATCTGGCGGTCTTGGTGGTCGGAATTTGTTGGAAAATCGCCGCAAAAGTAGCCCAAAAACAAAAAATCTGAAAATCTATCCAAATTTTCAAATTTTTTGGGCAACTTTTGCAGCCATTTTCCGGTCGAATCCCTTGGAGTTACGGGAATATTTTGGGTCTTAATTGAAGAGAACATTATGGACTTTCCAACGGTATCAAAATTCGACGGTATCGGTGGTCGGAATTGGCGAAAAAGTTGTCGCAAAAGTAGTCCGAAAAACTAAAAAAGTGTTTTTAAACTTTAGTAGTGACCGTTTCTGCAAGTTTTTAAACATCAGTGACATTTTTTAAAGCGCCCCGAAACATAAGTGACCGTTACTGGAAGTTTTAAACTTCAATGACCGTTTTGTAATTTTCTCGAAATTTCATTGATCATCTGTGAAATTAACCCTTATGTCAATAGTGGAAGCAAAAGTGAAGAGTAACGACAAAACTGCATACCAAGTAGGCATCAAATTTGCAGCAATGAACAGCCAAAATCCAGTGGAACCAAAAATCAAAGCATTCTTTGTCCCAAGCTGCCTCACCACCACTGAAGCAACAACCGAAAAAACTGCAAATGATACATACAATATCCCCAGTGATATGGTACCCAAATCTCCTTCCTAAGAAACCTCAAGAAAAAATTATTAGAAATAATTAGCAAAGTCCCTTGTGAGGAAGTGAATTGCAACCAAAAACGGCGGAAACTATTGTCTGAGCTCGTCAGTTCTCCAACACAGGTAAAAAATCACAAATAAAACTCACTAAGATACATCTTTCAATTCAAATGAACCATCAAAAATGAAAAACTATTAAGATAATCTGATATCATGAAATATGAAAGCTCACAGTATTGATGGTACTTTCTAAGTTTTGGACAGCATTATAAGCCAAGAAAATCAGAATGAAAGCCCAGCAGAGAATATGAACATCTCTTTTGTGATTCAAAGTATTAGATGGAGATGAGCTTTCAACAACCAGTGATATTTCTTCATCCATGGCCACTGACTGACTGTACACACTCCAGTCAGAGAGTGCTCGCCAGCGAGATTTATGAGAAGACCGGGGGACTAGCTTTTGAATCCATCAAGGGAAAATAAATCAATAAATAGTAAAATGTCAATAATGTACAACTAGTTCAATAATGGACACATAATTAAAATAGTATTTAAGTATATTTAAATTGTTTGGGTCTGTGTCATTAAAGTTGGAGTTTCAAATCAAATCAAACCAGAAAAAGTGATTTGAATTTTTTCAATTCGGGTGTACAATAATGTAGCTCTAAAAAATCGTTCAAAATACATATATCATATCCAATAGGCTGAACGTAGACGAAAATATAAATGTCAATTATAATTATCTTTAATTCAATTTCAAGTAGGTTCCTATAGTTTGAGTATGAGCTTGTTGGTGATGAATAATAATAGGAGTAATTTCTGCCATGAAAACATTCCTAAGTTTTATCAGTTGATACTAGAGGAACGAATAATCATGGGACACGACGGGCAAAGCAAATAATTATTATTTTCTCTAGACAACATACTAAACAATTATTTGCAAATGATTTCAAATAGTTCAATATCCATATGGAAACATTACAGAAATTTAAATCTTTCAAAATTCCATGACAAGTCAAACATTATAATTTAAAAAGAAACATTCCCAGACTCTGCAAAATCAAGGATGATAGCGAAAGAAAATGCCTATAAAAATTATTTAAACCACACTGTAGCAGCCAAAATCTTCAAAATCAATAAATCATCAGACTCAACGATCGCGAGTCCTGGAGGATGACCAAGTGGATGTCGACTTTGGGGGACCACCACCAAAGGAAGTACTACGATCATCACGCCACCTGTCACCAGGTTGAGATGGACGATCGTCCTTCCTGATACTACCACCACTGGCCCACCGATCATTTTCCGCAGGCCGGGCCTGGGCCCCACCACCTTCTGCAGACATACGTTTGAACCTGGGCACATACTTATCTGGAGTTGGAGCAGCTGCAGCTGAAGTAGGAGCAGTAGCAGGGGGTGCTGCCTCCACTGGACGTGGCATGGCAGACAAGTCGGCAACCCTTGATGGCCCGGTACTTGATCTCCCCAAAAGCGCCTCTCTCCTCCGCTGTTCTTTCTCCTCCAGTTCCCTCTCACGTTGCCTCTGCTTTTCAGCAATCTCATCCAACTTGGCTTTACGCTCAGCCTCCTCTCTCTTCCGCCTCTCCATCTCTGCAAAATCCAACCGTCCAGAAGCAAATGTTACATTATGCATCATCAGTGCAAACTATGGTTATAAACATGCAAAGGTCATCAGGATATGTATTCTTGTGTACTCAAAATATGACAAAGTCCAAATACCATAAACTGTTCAATTCTTGAAATATCATAATTTTGATTTTTAGTCTAGGAGAAAAGAAATTAAGCAAATGAAGACCATGGGCTCCAACATAGGACGCAAACTCCAAACCCACTAGATCTCTTTGACAGGTGGAGGAGTGCAGGAAAAAGAAGCATGGATAAGTTTGTCAGAAACATCTATTTATGTGATGGAAAGGAAGTTAAACATAAACCAGGGGGCAGAGAATAATCGGAAGCATTAGTGCAGAAAGTATCTCCTGAAATAATCAAAAAGCAACCAAAAAATATGGAAACAGAGTAAATTATAGGTCCTAAGCAACGACTAGGGGCTTGTATGTTCGGAGAAAATAAGCAAGTATATCTGTATTGTTTAAGCTCGTTTGACAGCTTTGGGAATTGTTGCTTTTAAGAGATATGATGGTGACATTCTAATGAAAGAGGAGAATCCTGCATATCAAAAATATTCATACGAAAAAATACTGAATGTTAGAAACAATAGTAAGTCCAGACTTAGATGAGGTAGGAGAATGTCAGATCGTGCAACAAAATTTATAGCATTTCGCTAAATCTGATTAGGCATGCCTATTAACCAAAATCAAATCCCTACAATTGTATTTGGAATTCAAATAGGAAAATGTACCTTCATGCTTCCGTGCTTCTTCCTCTTCATGCAATCTTATTTGTCTCTCCTCCTCACATCTCAGGTAATACAAAGATTTCCTCTTAGCCTCTCTTTCCTGTTTCCTTGATTGAATAATTTGGTTGATCCTCTCCTCTCTCTCCGTCTCAAGTCTGTTAAATTCAGCCTCCCTACGACTAACCACTCTCTCATGGAACAAACTCTGTACAAATAGGTTCAAGAAGTTAACTAAGACTTACCTAAGAATGCTGCTATGCAAAAAAAAAAATTGTACTAAGTAGTTAACCTGCTTAAAAAGCATTAAAAAATGAAAAGGAAATACATATTACACGCAAGTTACCAAGTAGAAAACAACAAGTATGAGTCCATAAATAAAAAAATAGTAGGATCCAACTCCCAAGTACAAAATATTTATCACGCGCTTTTCTCAATCTTCAAGGTAGATTGTCACTGTATATTCTGCACTTCAGATTCTTTATGTCAAGTTTCAAGTATGCATAATTTCCATAGCTGCATTTGTATAAATCAAGTGTAAAGAGAAAATTTGGAAGTTTTACCACAGTTACACGACCCAAGTGCAACAAAGCAATTGAATGTCGGTAGATAGTAACCTCAAGAAAAAACTCCCAGTCAAATTATTGATTTGAGGTTGCCTTTAGAACTAAGGATTTAGGTCGGGATCACTTGGAAGGAACATTTTCAAACTGCCCGTGCTTATAAGATGAATCTCTCTACAGTTGACGAATTATTCAACTATTTTATACATAACATTCATTGAGGTTTAAAACATTTTTCTGCTAGAAAGATTTTTCACTCAATTCGGAACTCAAATTTGGCCAGCCCCAAATTGAACTTAACATAAAGCAAGATTTTCCAACTTCGGACTTCTATTTGATCTCTGGTTGGATTCAATTTAGACTAGACCAGGTTACAATTCTCCACCACGAGCACCTTACCCAGCCTCACAGGCTGAGCAATGCTGTTTTTTCACATTAGAAAAATATCTTGACAAGTTGGCAACTAGAAT